GAACCCCCTGCACAGCCATTGACGTCAACACAAACTCCGGAAACGGCGAGCAGCCTTTCCGATTTGTCTGCGGGCAATCTGCCCGCAGCAAGCAACAACATGATAGTAGAGTCATGGGGCTGTATGTACACCAACAGCCAAAGCCTGTTAAACAAGCTGTGTGACCTCCGTCTCCAGGTCGACCAACACCGGACACTACTGATCGGTATAACGGAGACCTAGGCTCACACGGGGATATCCGACGCCGAACTGGAAATTCCTGAGCTAGATATCCTGCGACAGGACAGAACAGAGGGCATGGGTGGAGGGTGTGCCCTTTATATCATCAGGAAACAAAGACCTGTGAGGATCATGGATCCTGTACTAGGAAGGGTACCGGAGAGTGTTAGGGCAGCCATAAAACTGGACGGCAAAAGGCAATGCCTCTTAGGTGTTCTCTATAGGTCACCGAGTTGCTCAGAGTCGACAAACTCTGCCATTATCGACGCACTAAAGCACGTCATAAGGCTGAACTATCACCACGTCCTGATAATGGGGGATTTCAATTTACCGGAGATCTGCTTTAGTACGTTGACCTGCCAAGCAAGATCTGGGTCCATAACCTCAATATTCTTTGACACGGCGATAGACCTGGGGTGGCACGAGCACCTCCGGCAAGCAACCCGATGGCGAGCAAACTCCAGACCCTCCGCGCTAGATTGGATTCTTACCAACGAACTTCATATGGTCGACCAACTAGAGGTTTCTACCCCACTGGGACTCGGCGACCATGGTGTCATACGATTCACATTTGTACACACCACGGAACTGATACGGTCGACAGGGTCCACTTGCTGGAATCTGCGTAAGGCTGCCATTTCCGCTATGCGAGCCTTCCTGGAGTCAGCCCCATGGCCCCTTAACCCTTCTTACGTCAACGGTCATTGGAGCGAAGTGAGGGAGATTCTTACTGAGGCCATGCGTAGGTTTGTACCACGAACACAGATTCGACAATTCGAACCTAAAAAGCGACTGCGTCGCCTAACACTTAGGACGTTGACATGGAAAAGACGCGCATGCAACCAATACCAATGATCCCAGAGCTCCCAGGATTACGAGGCCTACGTTGAATTACGCAACCAACGTAACCTAAAAAGAAAGCAAGACACCAGTGAACACCAGATGCAGTTCTTAAACCGGATCATTGCGGACCCGAGGAGTTTCTATAGGGACATCTCCACGGTAACACAGGCGAAATCCGGGATCACAGATATCCGTCGTGCGGATGGAGCTCATACGGATGGCAACCAGGCTGCAGTTAACACCCTGGCTGAGTACTACTCTACGGTATTCAACTCAGAACTTGTTAATCAAACAGACGGAAGGGGTCTTCCCGCAGTAGACTCCATACCCAGCAGGTCCATCGAATCTGTATCGTTTTCCCCTGCACAGGTAGGACTAAAACTGGCAAGTCTCGGAGCTAAAAAGTCGCCGGGACTTGATGAGATACCACCCATATTACTGAGCAGTGCTCAGAGCAGTTAGCACTACCCCTAAGCAGACTGTTCAACTACTCTATGGGAGTTGGCGTGGTCCCGGATGAGTGGAAGACATGCGTGGTCTCTCCTATTTTCAAGTCGGGAGACCGTAGGTTACCAAACAATTACCACCCGGTAGCCCTGCTCTCGGTGGCCTCAAAGGTAATGGAGGGACTCTTTGACGACAAAATCAATGAGTTTGTCGAGTAGAATCGTTGCTTGCACGATGCCCAGCAAGAGTTTCGTGGGAAGCCATCCTGCCAAACCAACCTCATTGGGACCACGGAGTGGNNNNAGCCATGCTAGATTTTTCCAAGGCCTTCGATAGAGTTCGGCACTCTCTGCTGATAGAGAAGCTGACCAACCTGAGATTCCCCGAAAACTTGGAAGCTTGGGTCTCAGACTATCTGTACGATCAAACCTCTCGAGTTCAAGTGAACGGCATCCTCTCAGATAGGTTTGGAGCACCCAGTGGGGTACCCAATGGCTCTATCTTAGGCCCCAGACTGTTCATATTATTTGTGACTGAACTCCCCATCGGCATACAATCAGACCTACTGATGTATGCAGACGAAGTTAAGATCTGCCAGGAGATTCGAAGCCCATTAGATAAGTGCACCCTGCAAGAGGACCTAGATAGGTTTTTTACCTGGTCGGTCGCAAATGGGTTGCTGTTCAACCTTGACAAATGTAAGGTTATGCACGTTACAGGGAACCGTACAAACGACTACTTGCTGGAAGGTTGATCATTGCAGAGGGTCAGGCACGAAACGGACCTCGGTACAGTCATTACCGATGACTTGTCCCAGCAAACTAACTGCAACACACTGGCCCGGAGGGCAATGTTCAAACTCAACCAACTAAGACGATTGCTGGGAAAATTCACACCAGGGTCTTTCCCCAAGAATTTTGCTACGCGCATTCGGTCCGCCGCTGCTTAGGAGGGATGTCAACGCCATTGAGCGGGCACAGCAAAGCCACCAAACGAGTACAGAGTTTGTCACGCACACTCTACCCGGATAGACTCCGTTCGCTCCACTTGTACAGCATGCACTATAGGAGGGTAGGGGGCGATCTGATCCTCCTGAGGGACACTCAACGTTCAGGGGCACTCTAACAGGCATCCGTTCACGATGGCCCCTCTGTCGGCAATGCGCGGCCACTCCATGAAACCGGAAAGGTAGTGTCTTCGACTGAGATCCCGGGAACACTGTTTCTCGGTACGTGTATGTCGCCCTTGGAACTCACTGTCAACAACAGTAGTCCAGGCTAAAAGTAAACAATCGTTCAAAAAGCTACTTGAACAACATACCTATAAAGATAAAAAAGGAAAACCCACCGGTTAGACAATAATGCGAGGAACACAAGATAATTGAGTGATTGGTGGCAGAATAAACTCGAGTCGGCTCCCAACGACCCGTGATGTTGAATGCGGAACTGATAATAATAATGAGGAAAAAGAAGGGTATTCACCAGGTCCCAACCGCGGGAGCCGTCAAAATAGCGAGGTATGCTGCCAACTGATTAAGAAAAGAAGAATGAGAAAAAGAGGGAAAAAAAGAAGGGAAAGTGAAAGAGAGAAAACGAAAAATAAAGCAAACAGAGAGATGAAACGTACAGATGGTTCGGCAGGAGAATCACTCTCTCGATTAATCGCTCGCAGCCGAAGACCGGAGTCGGGTAAGGGCACAGGGATACTGCATTCCTAATTGCAAACAGCACTCCTGCACCCGGTCACCTCTCACACAGTGTATACATCTACACAGCAAAATCCTGGTCGGAGCGTCCGCGTCATGCAGCCCTGGGAGAACCTGTCGGTAAGCTGCGGATACGGTTCTGAAAAGGTGAGGGTGGAGACCCACTCCATTCCCCCTATCAACCAAACGCGCTGCTTTCCTTTACTGTTTTACCTCGACTGCTGTAAGAATGATTGCATGGTTTGGTTGTGTCCTGGCTATCTAGAACGGTTTTGTAACAATGGACACCATTGGAACACTGCTAAGCGTTTGATAGCAAGAGCCTTTGTGAACCCCATTTGTGTGGTCTTGACCATTGGTTATGTACGAGCGAAAAAAGCAGCTAAACAGCAGCATTCCTAACTGTCGCTTGTTTCAGACACGGTCGGATACCGAGCATCAGACTACTACTCCGAGGACCTCCGTCACTGAGCCATAAACCTACCACCAGAACCCGGGCTACTCGAAAACTTCGGTTCCTAAGCCCGTCGATCCCTTTGAATTCCCGTGAATCCCGTGAAGAAGGAGCTCGATAAGCGCTGGTTGAACTTAGTAAATAATAATAATAATAGGTGTATATTTCACGGAGCCCGTGAGACATGCACAAGACATGATCAAATGATCAGAGCGAGCATATGTACAATAACAGTGTAAGGTAGACAATACAAATGGGGGGGATCAGAACGAAAACACAGTGTGAAAGGAATACAAACCGGACAAGGTCACCGACGAATGTATGGAAGATGGAGGATGCATTGAAAATGCATGTCACTAGAACTGGAAGTAATGGTAAAACTGGTCTCGGAAGGATTGGACGTACGACAGCAGTGCGGGGAAATACGGAGAGGCAATCTGTGGAACAAATGCTGCCTGATGGTGGAGGCATGAGGACAGGAATAGAAAGGAAGGAATACAGCCAGAAAAAATACGTCGGTAAAGGAACATGTTTTACTTTATGCTGCAATACAACTCGCTTCTGGAGACAAGTTCATTTGGTTCGGGGCTTCAATCGATCAAGTAGTGATTTGGATTATTTAGATTAATTAGGCGTTGGTCGCTTTGATGTGGGACTGACTACACGCTAGACACCTAACCATAAAACACCTTGTAGGTGAGGCAGGGGGTGTGATCCTCAACCTGGTCCGGAACGCGGACGCATGTAGTCAAAACGGTGGAAACAGCCGTGCCCAAAAGCCATTGCCGAAGTAGACGCATAGATTAATGTCTGGAAACAGTGGTAAGTTTTTTCATTTAGTAACTACCCGAACAGGAGAACACTTCCAAATGTGAGGTCTCTCGCCTGAACTAAGGGATAAGGTACTTCTTTATTCGTTTCGCTTTCCTTGCAGAGGCGGGGACAATTGTGACGAGAAAAAAGTGTAGAACTACAATATAGAACACTCTCAGTGGTAGGGACAAACATGTGGCTTCCTACCGGAGGAATCCTGGACGCTTGATTGGCCGTTGCCATCTCCTGTTTTGTGCAAACTGGCTAACTGACTGACGGACTGACCTGACCTGGTGGCTAACCGTCATTGGGGTGAGTGGGTGAGACGCGACAGCTTGTTAGAGACGGATTTCTGCTATTCATACACCTCGGAGAACTGCTGATATCTTCTGAAGTTATTTATTCTTTCTTCATACTTCGTATCTTATCCATTGTCACCATCTCATTATGTTGACCATAAACGCAACTCACGCAGTTACAGACTGGACCGACTCCACACTAGGCCGTTTTTCCCAAATTATGATTAAATATTTCTACATTCCAGCATTGAATATCGGTGATCGGGAAGAATCGTATCCGCATCCAGCCACTGCATATAAGCTGGGGCGAAGGAAGGCTTGGCAGTCGAAGCAACACGAGAACACGGAGCTCGGGGTACAAGAACCTGGACACATATTGGCTCGAGCCACCAGTCCTGTGACCAGTTGGCACGCCGCCGCTATCTCCTATGAACCGACCCAACCCAACCCTACCTGATTGCAGCGTTTTTGAGTAATCGCACCTTCCGGGTCAAGGTGGGCGACTACATTTCTAA